ACCAATTCCATCATCAAGTTTGCCGATGACACCACAGTTGTAGGTCTGATCACAGACAATGATGAGAGGGCCTACAGGGAGGAGGTCAATCTCCTTACAACATGGTGTGAAGACAACAACCTCACCCTCAACGTCAGCAAAACCAAGGAGCTGATAGTGGATTTCAGAAAACTGCAAAACGGACATGCCCCTATCCACATTAACGGGACTGAAGTGGAAAGGGTCAGTAACTTCAAATTCCTTGGCATCCATATCACCGAGGACCTCACATGGTCTCTCAACATCACCTGTCTGATCAAGAAAGCGCAACAGCGCCTGTACTTCCTAAGACGGTTGAAGAAGGCTAAGACATGTCCCCAGATCCTCATTAACTTTTACAGATGCACTACAGAAAGCACACTGACAGGCTGCATCACAGTGTGGTATGGCAACTGCAGTATTGCTGACCGGAAAGCCCTACAGCGGGTTGTGAAAACTGCCCAGTCCATCACTGGGGTTACTCTCCCATCCATCCAGGACAGTTATGACAGACGGTGCTTGAGGAAAGCTCTAAGCATCACCAAAGACCCCACACATCCCAGCTACAGACTGTTTGACCCTCTACCATCTGGAAAACGGTACCGGAGCATTTGAGCCCAGACTACCAGACTCAGAGACAGTTTTTACCTCCGCACTATCAAACTATTAAACTCCCAGCCTCTCTCACTTGCGTTCTGAACGTTCTACCTCACATGTCAAGAAAGCTCACTCTCCATAAATTTCTATCCTTTATTTAATTCTGTTGATGTATGATTTTGCCCATCTGATGTTGCTTTGCACATTACCTGTTACCCGTTGTTGTTTTGTACATTGCCTATTGTCTCTGTCTTTCTTTTCTTATTCAATTGAAGTGTTTTTTTTTGTACTGCTTAACATCTGAGAGCTACAGTAGCTAAATAGCATTTCGTAATACCATATACCTGTATATGAGTATAATGACAATAAACTTGAACTTGAGAAAGTGGTGACCGATAACCTATTTTGCAATCCAGGTGCAATCCAGTCTCCTGCATGTGTGCGTGGGGGAGGGCGGGGGTCTGATTATTCTTCGTTATGGTACAGTTCACTCCCCCTGCTTCTGCCCCACACCCGCACACTAAAAGGAAACCTTTGACTATGACAATATACAGAGAAGCTTGCTGTACTATTTCTGAGATATCAGATGGGTTACTTCCTCTTTAAAAAGCCCATCTGTAAAAATAAGCAGGGGTGGAAAAAAAAAAACAACAACCTTTTTTTCTCATTTGTATTTTTAACACCGGCTCGTCTGCAGTAAGTTGAGAGGCTGTTTGGTCGAACAATATGGAGCAGACTTTCTGAAATGTAAAATGACATACCAAGGATGAATCATTTTACAATGTTAAGAGTCCGCAATCAGGAAAGAGACATTCACTCCTCCCCATCCAGCAATAAATATTGAGGTCACATGCATCACTTGAGCAGACCACACTTAGTGTATATCTCTGCTTGGCAAGTTTATGTGTTTTGTGTTGTTGCCTCATCAAAGTGTTTTATAGTTACGAGACAATGCAAGGCAGAATTTTTTACAGGCAGCAGATTGTACCACAGGATGCAGAAGAATGAAAAAGGAAGAATTAATCAGTTTTTCAGGGGTGACTGCTAGACCGTAGACTTTCACACCTGCTCGGTAAAGTCCGAGCGGGAGAGTTCTGAGAAGACGCAGGAGGTCTGGCCATCCTGGTGCTGCCTGGAAGCTGATTTGATCTCTTGAGGATAATCGGGCAACAGAGAAAAGAGAGGGAGAAACCACATGCTGAGGCAGGAGGGAGAAGTGCAAGGAAGGAATGAGCAAGACAAGCGAGACAGGCCTACAGCTGAGGTCTCTGAAGATTGCACAGCAGAGAAATTGCAAGAGGTAATAGAAGCCTGAGAACGTGTTAGGCAAGCGGTGAGGTTTCTCACATGATGCAGAGCAGACAGCAATACCAGGAATGCCTAAACAGAGCTCAATCCACAATGCGGTGAGAGACACGAGCTTCAGCTAGCAGATGACACACTCCAGAAGCATGTACAAATCTCTGCCCTTTGCAGAAAACAAAAGCTGGGCCTTGTGATTAGCCGACGAAAAAAAGCTGTTTGTTTGGTTCTCAAAGAGTTAAACAGGTTTCGTGAAACACCGCGAAAAAGAAGAGGGCGGAGGCCTAGAAACACCTTGTGAAACTATGATGAGAGAAGGAGCTGGAGTATTAAGAATTACTTTTGACAAAGGTGTCCAGGCCTTGCAGTCCCTTTCCTCCAGTAATTCTAGACACAAATAAAAAGTAATAAATATTGTATGGTACAGTGGCAGAGTGGATGGCTCTGTTGCCTCACAGCGCTGGGGTTCTGGGTTCAATGCATGGTGTGTCTATGTTCTCCCTGTGTTGTTGTGTGTTTCCTACCAGAGTTTACTGGCATATTAATTGGCTTCTATCAAATTTGGTCCCGGTGTGTGTGTGTCTGTGCATCTGCCTTGCAGTAGACTGGTGTCCCGTCCTGGGTGTGTCCTGCCATGTGCCCATGGCTTGCTGGGACAGGCTCGGGCTCCTCCGCGACCCTGAGTTGGGAGACGTGGTTAGAAAATGGATGAATTTACTGTACGTGCATTTCTCACATTGTGGGCTGTTGAGAATGCTGAAAGCCAAAAAGAAGGAACTCAGTTCTTTCAATTAAGCGGTGTAATTAAGAAGAAGTAGGCTAGGCGCGTTAAACGCTCCACAAATATTGCAAGTACTCACATTGCACTAAACTACAGGCACAACTTTAGCCCATCCATTTATTATCAGAATGCTGCTCATTTCTGGTTAATGTGGTCAAGGCAGCGTTATTGCTTATTCATGAAAAAAACTGCTGATATGAGAGTGATTTAGAATACCTGCAGGTCTGGGACTCCCTGAGACTAGCATTAACCCTGGACCGTGCTGTCCTATACACAGCAACTTCCAATGCAAAACTTCATTTTGTCTGGTTGAACAAAATGAAAATTTCTATATGGCCTATACCTTCTTCCAGACAAGAAGAATAACCAGAAAGAATAGGTCGTGATGTTGTCGTTGTAAAATGGCTGGACTCACATAACATTGTAGCGCAAGAATTTATCATCAAAGTTTATATGTTGATTATTCATACCTAAAAGCACTATAACATTATTTTTTGAGTGGGACATCACGCTAATCATCTTTCTCGATCTGAAATCATATTAGTGCAGAGTATAACAGAAGCGCAAGAGGAAGCTTATCTCTAATCTTGCACATTTCCACTCGCCTACGTATGTATGTCGTCTCGCACCCAGGACTTCTCTTCCCACCCCTGGCTTCCCATCTACACCTTTGCAGCAGCTTCCTAGCTCAATCCTCACAAAGGTGAGGGTGGTCTGGACAGCCTGATCCTCAGATCAAGACTACTGTGCATTCAGCTAGGAGAGTCATGCCAAATACCCTCAACATATATCATATTCCCCCATCACATTCATTAGGTTCTACCCCACCTACTGAATAATAATTGAGCATGTTGTACAGTTAGTAGCAAAATGAATGATGCAGATGACAAAACGGAGCCCCTCAAACAGAAGAAACAGAAAAAATGCTTCTACCTAGAATGTGTGGGTGTTGAGATGATTAATGCAATAGCTTGTCTGGAAACTCTTAGTCTCTTTTGCAAGTGTGTGACATTTTACCATTTTTTTTATTTTTGTATGCAAATCCTCTGGGTAATTTTCTGTTAACTACACTGCTTGTGGTATAGAAACCCTTGTAAGGCAGAAAGCTATAGTAAAGGGTCAGGGGACTTTCACGGACTTTATTTGGCCTCAGGGGTAATTGAGGATTCTTCAGATCAGCCTGGAACCACAAGATGATCATTGCTGGTCACCTTCCAGTATATGTAGTCCACTCCACAACCCCTTTTTCCTCCAGCTCTTTGATTATTCCAATATTACTGCCATGTGGTGGATTCCTAATGTAGACAGGCTCATAAATATCCACAGTTATTAAATAGGAGCCTATTATCAAGATGGACTCTTCTATCAGCCAGTATAAACGTTGTGCCACACCAACACAAATATTGGATTATTTTAGGGGTGACCTGTAAGGCGCATGTCTATGGTTCTTGACTGAACACACAGCCTGTTGAGTACAAGTAAAGACCCACTTACCAGGGAATCTTCACAGCTGCTTTTCACCCACCAACAGTCAACACACAGATACCTGGTAAACAACAGCAATAAATGTTTTTTATTTCGAAATGACCACATTCCAATTAAAAAAGGTTCATCACTGAAGATGACTATGATTTTTCTAATGTGTGAGAGTCACGAAAGGCAGAAGTGGCTGAATTAATAATCCAACGAGTACAACAGCTGCAGGATACCTAACATACGTAGCACATTTACATATTAACATAGCGGTTCTTCTTCCTAAGGATTTTACCTGCAAGGCGGGGGTAACAATTTAACCTGCTTGTGCATCGTCCAGCTGGACAGCCGTATTTTTCTGACAAAGGACTGGTAGTGTCCCAAAACATACACAAAATTATTTAGCGCTTTAGACACAATCAGGAGTTATACTGTATAGTATTACAGAACTGACAAATAACCCTATCACCTTATTCACTTTTATTTTCTTTTATGTCTGCTATTAATTTCATATTACTGGATATAGACTCTTCTTTAGGTGTGTTAATAGTAATATAATAATATTAAGCACTCAGCCATAGAAGGCTTAACATTATGCTGTCTCAATTTTTAGCATAGAATTAACCTTGATCCCATTACAGATACAGTATAGTATAGTTTCTGTATAGTTTGTTTTCTATTCATTTTAAATGAATTCATTAAGTCTGCTCGGTTCCAAATGTTCATCGGACCGTTTTAGAACAGTATTAAACAATATTAGTAGGCTGAGGCAGCTAGCAAACTTCCTTATCTTTTGTGTGGTTTCAGACACAGAGGTCTGACTTCTAGAAAGGAAGTACTGTAGCTGTCTTCTACTGCAGTGACAAGATGGAGATACCTGCATGTGTCTGCTTACGTTTCTTTTCATTTCTTTGGCTGTTGGTGGGTATGTTGGAAGGTACGGTACATCTCTTATTCCCTTACAATTTAAATAAATAATTTTTATTATTTGGAGTTTAGCACATATAGCTCTGTATTTTTGCAAGCAGATGCAGCTTGTATAAATAAAAAAGGAACCAGGGAACAAGAACCGTAAAGGCAGTGAAAATTTTAATATTTTGGGATTTCTGACAGGAATGTCTTATTATTTCTCGTGTTTTTTGTTTCATTATTACCACATGCTTACTTAAACCTGTATTGACAAATGTTCATCGAAGTTGGTGAAAAGTATGGGCAGCCAATAAGCAACAATTGCATTGGCCAGAAAAATTATACTGTATATACCCGCTTGCACTCTATAAATACTATAATTTGAAAAATAATCTCTGCATGGCCCCAAACTACCTGTACAATAAAAAAAGGCTGTTTTACGGATGTTTTAAGATTTTGACAATCAGCTTTTGAGGAGAAGAAGCTTTTAAGAAGCAAGATTACCTAAAAAATTCAAAAATATGTTCACTACTTTAAGACATTACTTCAATTTACATAAAGGAATACAGTATTTATGTCACTGAAAAATATGAGAGATTATATATATACCTTTGACCAGTATTCAATATCTTAAGTAGACACCTGTTGAGTACACATTTAAATTTGATTTGAGCAAAATGCTTGATTATGAGACATACAGACATCTGACAAGTTTTTCATTCATGAACTAATATGTGCTAAATAAAGCGCAACTAAACATATAAAAGTATATTTTATCAGCATGTTAGCGTGGCAATGTCACAAATCTTCTTTTCTCTGTTCACGTTAGATGCATACACTTACATTTTAAAATAATCCAGTAATTAATGGGGTTGAAAGGGCGTTGCAATTATAACGCATTGTCAATTTTCCAAATGTGTGAGTCCATTAACTCAACTCACCAAACTGTGATGTTTTAAAATAGTTTTATGGTTGTTTTCTTATCATTTGATGTAAAGTTCCATTTTGACCAGGTCCTGGAAAATACTGGCTGCTTATTTTTGTATTTGATAGGAAGTTTGATAGTGGAGTTCTCAGATATTAAAGCCATCAATTTTATAGAAGTAAAAAAAAAATAAAATAAATATAACAGGTAATTTAGTAGTGAAATTCTGAACGGTTAAATTCTATACCAGTGGAATATAAAAGATGGATATTAAAGTATATTAGTGATATGTGTGTTCAGAGAAAAGGGATATTTTGCCATTAACTTCATCTGGTTAAGGGAATGACAGTGTCTGCTGAAGATCACAACTCTCCTCACTAATAATAATGTAATAATAGTTGATTACACTTATATAGTGCTTTTCTGGACACTCCACTCAAAGTGCTTTACAGGTAATGGGGATCCCCTCCACAACAACCAGTGTGCAGCATCCACCTGGATGATGCAACGGCAGCCATAGTGCACCAGAACGCTCACCACACACCAGCTGTCAGTGGGGAGGACAGCAGAATAATGAAGCCAATTTGTACATAGGGATTATTAAGAGGCCATGATTGTTAAGGGCCAATGGGAAATTTGACCAGGACGCCAGGGTTACACCCATACTTATTTCGAGAAATGCCCTGGGATTTTTAATGACCACAGAGAGTCAGGACCTCAGTTTTACGAAGGACAGCCCCTGTTTACAGTATAGTGTCCCAGTCACTATACTGGGGCATTAGGACCCACATGGACCGCAAGGTGAGCGCCTCCTGCTGGTCCCACTAACACCTCTTCCAGCAGCAACCATAGTTTTTCCCAGGAGGTCTCCCATCCAGGTACTGACCAGGCTCCCACCTGCTGAGCTCCAGTGGGTTGCTAGTTGTGAGTTGCAGAGTGATATGGCTAATAATGAGCCAGGGAGATAGCTACAACCATGGAGTATTTATATGCAGGGGACAGGAAGTGTAACATTAGAATTTCACCCTCTCTCAGAATTCTTTTGAATAAATACCATAAATCCCCAAAAGAATTCTGACAATTACAGGAGATAAAATGTGCTATGTTATCAAAAAATGTTAAGGAGCCTGCAGCGGTTCTTAATAATTTCTGGGTAGTATAGACATTATGTCACCTAAATATTACCTGGAATAAGAGTTTATCCTTAACCTCATCCTTATAGACTCCATTCACATTGGCAGCACAGTTAACAGACACTTGTGAAAGGCATGGTATTAAAGTCATATCAATGCGATTGAAGTAACTACTGTAACAAGCGACTAGAAATGTTGTTCTAATTAAAACAATTACTTTTGTGTTGTTGCTTATTGTTTTTTAAGCTGTCAAGTTGAACTACTAATGTAAGACTTCTAACATCATTTAAAATGAATATTTATTTTCATATATCATCTTTGTTTCATTTATAATACTCAAATACATTAAACACCGCCAGTAACACTTCTGAAGTCAACAGTTACTCATGAGGTCAGATGTTTACCACAAGCATAGTTTCCAGTTATCAAGATGAAGGTTAGTGCAAAGCCTTGTGCTGTAATTTTGAAGTTGTACTTTGTGAGGTTTTCTGTGCTGGAGCTAACAGTAGTGCCTACTTCCCAGATGCAGATCAGAAACACTTTGCGACGGAATAGATTTGGCACAAAAATGTTTCTTGCAATCACTTAAAAACGAAAAGCTCAGCAAAGCACTGGGAATCAGGACATTTTATTTTTCAGACTAGGAAGAAGGGCATGAATTAAAGCTCAAGAACACAGCTGAGACCTGGAAGTTGTGTACCTGAGGGGTCCTGAGTGGTTCAGGAGGGATAAAAATAACAAGTCAATAACACACAGCTGCACCTAATCACGATCATTACAAATTCAGCTTTATATGTAAAACACGGACACCTCCCTTCACATTCATCTCAAGCAACTTTCCTTTGCCACTTCTACACTGTGCGGCTACCCTTTGGCTAACTTCTTCTGAATGGGGTTCAAACGACCCTGCACTGGCATCCTGTGGTTTTATACTTAACAGTCTGAGCAGAGTACATTTAGAGAATAAGGGATGAACAGTAGAGTGTTTCGGATTTGAAGCCACATCCTTTCACTCAATCCCAAGTCTAGAGCCAGTTCTTTTTCCAATCCTTGCATTATAATGGTGTACCTTTGTACTCTGAAATCCACTTTACAAACATGATTGCAAAGATTTTCCTTTAAAGCCACTAAGACCTGCTCATGTCAATAGGTTTTTTTTTAAAAGATTGGTCTTTTAAGATTTTTATATAAGAATTGAACTCTTCATAGTTTTCATTGAGCAAATGTTTTGAATGTATTAATTGCTAAAACACTTTTCTTGGTCTTGTAAAGGCTATTTTATGTGTTGTATAAATTACTGCAGTAAAATAGCAATACTGATTCTTCTCCTGTACTAAAATTCAAAATATCTTAAACCCCGCAAAATTAATGATCTATTCTATGTGTACATCTTTTCCAGCATTTGAGAAACAGTTACTCTTACCTAATGCTGTGCTGGGGGTTAGCATGCTTTAATTATATACAAATACCACTGAACTGTCAATTAAGCAATTTCAACAATATGCATCACAAACAAAGTAGTATGTATCTTTTAGAAAAATATCCTTGGTCACATGAAGACATGAAAGACTTGTAAGGACTGCTGATATTTTTTAAAACAGTGTGTGTTTAATCTTTAATGTTCATACTATATACTGTATGCATCGTTCATTTCTTTATATGCATGAGTCTTGATATAACAATTAGGATACAGTATTTGCATTGAAGATGTAATATTCCATATTCCTTTTATGTGTTCTAGCTGTATAAGTAACTGCAGTACAAATAGTAATATTGGTGCTCCTCTTATGCTGATATTTCATATTTCTTAAACTATGCCAAATTAATAACTTGTAGTGTGTGTTTTTCAAAGTTTTTGGAAACAGGTACCCATGTCTTGTGTCATGTGCCTGTATGTGTTAAAAATTCAAAAACACAACTGAGAAATCAATCAATCAGTCATGGATTTTCAAAAATATGCATCACACAGGAAAGAGACACCCTTAAAAATGTCCTTGACCACATGAAGACATGAAGGACATTTATAGTATACTTTAAGGACTGCTGCCATTTTTTACATAGATTCTGTGCTCATCCTGTAATGTTCATGTATACTGTACATTGTTACTCTTGATCTATACACTGTATATACTATATACAGACAGTTAAGGTTAGAATTGTTACAAGGTGTTTTTTTTCCATTTCCAGGTACTGAATCTGAACAAGTAATCGACTGCTATGGTTTAAAAGGAAAGTCTTTCCTTCTGGATGTGGAAGGAGTGAAGACAGAAGAATTACGACGATTTTACTGGAAGTTGAACTATACCCAAACTATACTGGAATACACATTACATAATACTCATCTCGACATTTTTCCTCAATATAAGGAGAAAGTTATGTTCTATCAGAAAAATTTCTCTCTTCAAATTCTTAAACTGGAGGAGTCAAATAGAGGAATTTACACAGCGATAACACAGGATAGACATGGAAAAGATAAGAACATTGTGTTTTACAGATTAATCCCCCAAGGTACTGTATGTGTTTTAAAATTTTAAGTGCTACTACTAAGCAGTTTCTGTGTGCATATGTGTTTGTTTTTACTTATAAGTGGACAATATGAAATCTAGACTGAAACAATAATATTTTCTGTGAGACAAATATGACATGGAACCAGAACTTCCTTCCTTCACTGTATCTGTTGCTTTCTTTATTTTAAAAAGAACAAGACTTTTAAATCTGTCAGGTGTTTGGCACTGTAATAGCAAAAACAATTTATAGAAATATTACAAGTCAGTTTTTCCATCAATCCTCGAATAGAATCTGAAATATATGCTTACTTTTATGTTCCTTAAGATACTCCAAGAACTGCCCTCAATCCATATGGTAATCATTTTGCAATCCGCTAAAACCTTATGCTTCAAATGTCAGATTTTCAAAAGCTGGGAGCAAAGGGAATTAATCAATATTGTTAATTTCAGATATTGTTTCTACTTGTTTGCAGGAAATTTGCTTCTAACGAGGGGCACCTAATGTCATACCAGAACTATTCACATTCATCCTTTCCTCCTTCAACACAGATAACTTTCCAATTACGCAAAATCCTTTCAAGTGCAGCTTTTTTGCATAGTTGAGAATTTTCTTTCTCAGGTCCTGCTGATTTTATGTGGCGACTGTAAATCCACATTCTATAAAATACAGAGTTGACTTGGTGAGGTGATTTACAAGTAAAGCAAGCTGTGGTTTTGTGCCTACTAAACAGCCAGGGTAATGCAAAGCTCTCGGCCTAAGGCACTGATATATGAACACATATTTATCATTTAACAGCTTCTGCTGCTGTCTGTCCAGAGAAGAACATCTCATAAATACTACTGGTGCAACATGGGGCTGGAATGAGGCAAGGATGCATGTAGATTTACTGTAATCTGGGTGATATCAGTTTTTACTTTGATACTGAATTCGAAATGAAGAGGCAAAGACTTATGTACACCCTCCAGGTATCTCTTCACATGAAGCAAGGCAGAAGTGTCTTCATGTCTGTTGCTTTCAGTGACACAGCTCTGACTACATTTCAGCATTGGAGAGGGCGGACTACAGCTCTGGTTTCCACTAACTTGGGTTAAGATTTTTCATTATAATAATATAATCTGATAGGATCTGGAGTTTATATCCAGGTACTGGTAGGGAATTGTACGCCTTTACAAATGTCCGTGAGCCTGTGTTAGTGTGAGACACCATTGCAAGCAGCTGTTCTGTTAAATGGATACTAATACAGTCTGAGTCTTGCAGTGTGTGAGACTGCATGTGACTCAAGTGGAACTGTTGGAAGACTCTGTTCGCACACCTTGTTCCATCTGTGCTGATACAAGGATAATAGTATTGATCAGCAAATGGTCTCCACTCAGTGAAAACAATACTATCAAGACTATCCGAATGAACTAATATATTTGATCAATTGTTGCATTGTAGATTCTGTGATTAAACCAGAGTTAAAGGTGAAGTCAGCTTCAGTCAGTGAAGAGCGCTGCAACATCTCTGCTACTTGCACTGTCGGTCAAGACAATTCTGTTTCCTACCGCTGCCAGCAGACACAATGCACTGAAGTTGGAAGAGACTACACAGAGTCGGATGACCTGAAGATCGTTGTCACTGTAAAGAACAGCAGTATTGTGTGCAATGCCAGCAACCGAGTCAGCAATGATTCTCATTCGTTGGCTTTAAAAGATGTCTGTAAGTATGGCAAAAACCATCATTCACTTTGAGCCTATGAATGTAGTTTTGCAAAGAAGATCATCTTATTTAATACTTAAATAAGGAGGGTTACAGAAAGCATTTCAATAAATTAACAGTTTATTTGTCCCTCATCTTTACACAATGATTAAATGATTTAAGAGCAATCCAAGTGAATATTTATCATTGGTATCAATGTTTATCTTCTACTCAGCAAAAAAAAAAAAATCTGGAGTAGTTTTGTTTTCATTTTTGTCCCACTAATCTTTTAATCCCGATGGAAAGTCATGACAATAGGATTTGAGTAAAGGGCTTTACTGTAGCTGATTGATTGCAAAAATAAGGTGCATTTTAACCTTTGCACACCTACTGTTTAAACAGCCAAGTGCTCTTTCAGTGCTATTGTACTGTACCTGTAAGGCATACGTGTACTTGTTTCCTTTATTGATGGGAAAATACATCTGTCATTTCAGGTAGAAACAGCGAGCCCCACAACGCAGCAGGGATCATTGGTGTGACAGCTGGGACCATCTTGACCATCTTAATCATCTCCATTCTGAGCATCTATGTATGTGTTAAAAAAAATCGTAGAGCTACTAATCAAGGTACTCTCTATTCTGCCAAGCTACTGGACCTGTAATTTAAATGATGAATGTACAAAATGTGTAACACTTAATTTTCGCCCGATACTGTTCATGGGTGGAATGTCTCCCTTGTGTGACATTAAACTGAAAACACAGAGCTCATGTTTAACAAGCTAAGAGAATACCATAAAACTTAAATAATCTTCTGTGTTCCCCTCCCCCAGGATAATTCTGGGACAAACGTGTTCAACACAATTTCACGAAGACTGTATTTTTTGAACCTGGAATATTTTTCTGACAAACGTGTTAACAATCTAAGGTTCAATTAGATGGCATCTCAAGACGAAATCTCTTCCTCTTAAATTTCTGTGTGGTATTAACAACGTCTAAGTGTTCCTCTGCAGCCAGCAAACTGACACCACTCTCCAGGATACATGTCTATTTACATAAATATTTCTGTAAATAAACATGGAATTCAAGGTTGCATGGACCTTGCAACAATGGAATTTAAGACACAGATTGGTCCAATTAGTTCTTACAAACAGACAGATTACACCACAGGGTGTGCATACTGTAAATCCATATGTATACTGTACATACATACAGTATGTTCTCCTTATGTATGAAGTCTTGATATCTAAATACTTACTGTAACACATTTCATTGTTCCAATGTCCATGTTCCTAATTTGTTATCCCTCCATTTTCTTCTATCAGTCCTAGAGTCCATCAGGCTGCTGAAAATCACGAGGCTTGGTCATTCATTACAGCTTTCCTGATGTCTATCTGTACCACAAACCCATTAACTTTCACTGTTGATCTTCAAGCACGGTCATTTCACGCAGTCTCTTAGGAATTTAAAACACATAACCTATTTTTCCCTTGGACATTTCGACATCATTCTTAATGTAATATGGTAAAAGAGGCATGGGTTTTCAAAAGTCTTGCAGCTTTGTCAAATCGTCAAAATATTATTTGCTCTATATACATGTAGTAGGATATAGGAAGAGTAAATCTCCTTAGAAAGAAGTGAAACAAGCCTGTCATATGATTTTGTTTTTCACTTTGATTCAGGGTTTAACACCCCAGCATGAACAAAGGGTACAATTGCACAGTTTGTCCACATCTCAATTTGGAGACCAGATTAACGTGTCCTGTCATTCCTACAGTGCAGAGCAGTATTCTGATTGGGTAATTGGTCAGAACCTTCTACTGAGAAGACTCTCACCTGCTGGTGTACCACAGCAACATCACAGAGCAAAAACATCTTGATTTCACCCAAAGAAGGCTAAACAGCAGAATCGTTGTGTTTGTTTTCTTCTCTTTGCGGCATGAAATATATCTTTACTTGATTTAACCCTTACAACTAGTATTACATAATACATACACTCACTATCACCGCTGAATGAAGACCTACCCAGAGACCTTAAATGTCTTTGGCTATGTTCTTGCAATTTGCTTTATATGTACTATACTATACTGTATATATATTGCCATGGCTGAGTTTCAGTTCATGACTATTTTATAGTATTTGCATTACAAAAAATATGAATTGTTTTGTAACCAATAATTTGCGTTGCACCCGTACCAAACGGAATAGTACTCTGCAATATTATCTCATCTCATTTCCTATTTTAATTTGTTTCATCTTGTCGGTTTCCATAAACATCTGAGATACTAGACGCAATGAATGAACTGAAACGTTTTCAAGGTTTTATATATACAGTATATATATATAAAACATACGCATCAGATGTGTATGTTTATAATATACATGCCTGATTCCTTGATATTTTACTGCGCGTCTGCACTTTGAGAAAGACTTTGTGATTGTTTCTTTGCAGTTTTGGTTTTCCTTTGTTTCTAAACTTTCTTATTTTTCCTGCACTGCACAGATGGAAATCTAGAGCCCCTCAACACAACATATGCTTCAGTACAGGTATTCGTCTCACTCCTCTTCTTATATCTGATAGTAGCAGCAGGAATGATACATAATTTGTGAGAGAAACCTACGTTTTCCAAACTAAAAATGACCGTAATGAAAATATCTCACTAAACAACCCTCTCACACAACATTGAAAAATGATGACGTCTCAAAACTGTTGCGTTTAGTATTCTTGATCATTTTGTTGAAAAATCAAATGTATAAAATATATTATTGCTTTATTATTTTGTAAATTTAATGACTTTATTTGAATGCCATTATTACATTTTATCATAATATATCACAACGAAATTTTATGCATTGCATGGCATATATACTGTATGATATATCATGTCAAAATAGCATTATCATTAGAAATGATTTAAATTTTCCAATGTAGAGAACCTTGCGTGTGATTATAATTCTGGATCTTTGTTTTCCTTTCTGAGAAGGAGACCTCTGCTCCCCCTCCTGTCGAGACTCTGTATGCAGCTGTGGGACCAAGAGAATGTCAAAGTAAACCAGTGAAACATCCTGAGGAGACGACCATATATTGTACTGTACAGGGGGCTCACATTAACTCTTAGTGTTCAGCTGAGGACTGGGTGATCTGTGAAAAACTGAATCTTGATACTCAGGCTTGGGGAACATACAGACCTTTCACCTGATCCAGTTTCACTTTGACCTTCTTTTGGAAATCCTGTGAATGTCCTGAGGATTGAACATCATGGTTCAAGATTTGGTTCCTCGCCTGAGAAGACCAGCAAGCCAGAGCTGGAACCAGCATTCGAAAACAGTCGCTGAAATGAGACAAAGGTCTGCGTTGTTGTTCTGAGGGCACGAGGATGTTTCAGCCACGTGACGTTTTAAGTGGATTCTCATATCGTGATCATCACTGGAGGAACACGTTACTTTCAATGGTGGAGACCAGTGATTGACTCTGAGTTCTAAACATTACCTGGAGGTTCACAGAATGATCTACTGCCTCGTAGAATCCATGGTACTACATCCAAAAAGACAAAATAGACAAAAACACCTAGTTGGCTGACATTCTAAATTCGAGTAAATTTCCTGCACTCAGACGACACTTTACAATGTCTCCTTGTGTGTCTGCAATACGACACTAGAGGCACAGTTAGACTATATTGGAATGTGGAGCAATTCTCATTGGTTTGCTCCTGTTAGGTGTGAACAAACTGAAAGTGTATTTTAGAGCATAATGTCTGAGTAGAGGCCAGCAGAGGAATTTGAAGTGCCCTAAGAATATGCAGTCCTTTCTATTACGATTTTCTAGCTGTGGTGTATTTTCCCAACCCAGATATTATAGGTTTCTTTAGTGGAATTTCATTCCAAACACCATTATTAACCATTCCCTAAAATAAGACAAAAACCCATTTATTTACTGTTAATTGGAATACAGTTTGAAATGGGCAACATCCCATGAAGTTCATCCCATGTGGAACACCTGTTGTCAAGGGCACGGTCTCCAA